ATTGTGGTGAGGTGTGTGAAGACAACACGGGTACGAGATGAAGTTACAAGTTGGAGCAATGAAAAGCAATGATTTCTAGTTCCGCATTCCTATGCATTTATCTCGTTCTGCTGATGATGCCTTAAAGCCCAATTCTTGAAGTTCAAATGTTGGCTATTATGGACTCACACTAACTTTGGATGATAGCGGTTAGCTTGCCGTAATGGCTTTTATTAACATGGATTCCTTGTACTCATTGCTTTCCAAATTAATGTACGAATTACTGGTTTCATTTGAATGGCGAATTTGCTATTTTATTACATGGTGTAATATTGTCATCTATCAGTAATTTCCCATGGAAGTGTCAGATCAGGTGTCCAAAAAAGCGTGTAGAATGTAGCGCTGAAAGCTGATTCTAAAGCTGCTTTGTGCGTCATTGAGAAAAGATGGGGTACTGGACTGAGTCACACAAAGCCGAATGCAACAAATTCACGAAGACCCACTATTACTGTTAGTAATGTTGAAATAACGCGTCGAAATTCGACTGGTAGCGCTCAGATCTTATTAAATACTAAAAAAAGTCATAATACGTAGACAGAATATGTGCTATTGACGTAAAGAACTCGGGAACTGGTGGTATTTCTTTGGGGGTAGGTCAAATGTTGGAGGTACAATGCTGGAGCTGTAAGCAGCCCATTACCAAAGCAGAGTTAAACAAGCAATTGAAGAATTACTAGGCTATGCCAAACTAATTCAAGTAATATTTAAGTAGAACATTACATCACTTGGCACGCGCTTTCATCAGTTGGGAAGACAGTGATGGAGGCTTTGCAAATGATTGTCATATGCCATGCATCGACAACAGATGGGGACATGCCTTAGAGCCTACTGACCTGTGATTAAAAATATCCGTCGTAGTTACTATGACGCAGGGGTAGTGAACATATCATTACACTTTGGTGGGATGTTATTTGAAATAACATGGATGGTTCGATGTACCATCGTGATGGAAATCAAAACATTGGAGATTGAGGATCCTGAGCTGTTACATTCCATTACTCACTTCTGTATAGGGCTGATTCGATAAGTGCTCCTATAAATTTTGTATTTAAAATACACAGATCACCCTCTAGTCTTATTCACTGTCCATCCTCACGGTTAATCATATTCGACCTGAGAAGGTTAACCATTCATCACGCTTTTTTTACTTGTGGGCCTCATGCTCAATCATTTAACTTTGTTTGCAACAGTTACACTATTATGCGCCAATTGTTAGTATAAATCTCGGTTTTTGTCGAAAGCCACTTGGGGCCTACACGAGCGGACGACGTGGTCTCTAGGCTAAGGTGGTCGTCTCTCACTCCTTCTCTATATCCACAGCGCTCCGAGACTTCCTTGAAGACGGAGAAGACGTAATGATTATGCAGAATGTGTAGTGTCGACGTCCACAAGGACTCGGGGCTACTGGCATGGGTTGAAGGCCAAGTCGCCCGTCGAGGGTACAATGGGGGTGCATCTAAGAGGCACCTCTACCAAAACCGAGAGTTAAACAAACCGTTAACCCATTGCGTGGATCATTTCCCATTTTAAGCGTCGTCCACGGCTCCGTTCTTGGTCAAACTTTAGTGTCGGCATTTAAAAGGCAATCACTGCAGTAAGGAAACACCCACGAGTCAAACGCACCAGTCATCAAGTTTCTATGCAACTGAGGAGATACTTGATCTCAACGTTGCTGATCCAAAAAAGCAGAATCATATAACGTAGGACGTGGTTTGGCATAGTTCCGCATGGGTAATGCTTGGCGTCCATTCTCCCTTGCATTTGATTCTCACATCAGTGCTACCTAGTCTTATCTATCTGGATTCTATCTACCCAGTAGGCAAGTGGAGGGGTTCCGAGTGTTCTCTTCATTGACACCTTCCTACAGATATCACAGATAGCCAACAACGAAATTTTCCACATGGATTACGGATGTGTTGGCCTCACTTGTCAATAGTCTTCCTCCAGACTACAGTACTAAGGTGTGTGTGTGTTCAGGTTAGATGTCATGTTCAAACCTTCTGATGGGAGTCATCACTGATTCTCTCAACCAGAGAAAGCGCACCTCTTCCATCTCGCTAAGGTTTGTCACGCACCAGGAGAAAAAGAGGT